CCTGCGATTTTGAAGATTGTTTCTTACTGTATGCTGATTGAAAGATAGCTCTGGGCTTATTTGGGGGAAAGTAAACTGAAGGCTGTATTCTAGGAGTCTATGAAATGCAACAATATTTAATTGGGGACATATGACTCCAAACCAAAAATGGTCCTTTTGGCCAACATTGAGCCATATATCTGTATGTGATGTATACATCTGGCCCAGGGAATCTGACTGGAGTCCTATCTGAAATAAAATGCCCTGAATCTCATGTGGTGTAGATATGGGGTCTCAGCATGAACTGCTTTGATTTAGTGACCTGCCAAATTACTTGCTAATATTATTTCATTATGACTTCATAATAACCATTATATTTTACATGCCTTTCATTTCACGTTCTCATGACATCTCCTATTCATTCTTTGAGTATCGTGACATACACTTTGTAGAGCTGCTGTATAGGTATAAGACTCAGGTTATTTTGGACCAAAGAGAAAGAACCCCCAAGGCAAAGGGTCAACCTAGACAACACATTGCCAAAGAACCTTTTCCTTTCAGAAATGTATCCATACAAGTATTCTGTGTGCCAGAGTAACAGCAAGAGAAATCAGTTCTCAAATAAGATGATCTCAAGCAGATGAAGTTTTCTATTTGTACAAGTCACAATTTAAATTCCATATGGAAGGCAAAGTGGCAAAATCTGCCTCTTAAAATTATATTTTCTAATATTCAATTATATGAGCTTAGTTGAGGACTTTTTTTTTTTTTAAGGAGTCCAAACACTGAGTTTGTGATACTAATTTCTTTTTTTTTTAAATGGATATAGATTCTGGTTGTATGAGGGTGACATGCTGTCCCTGATCAAGACATCATGAAGGAATTAACCATGTTGACGTTTTCATATTTGAGATTAAAAGAAGACACACATGTGGAGTCTCCTTCTTTGGAGACATTCAAAACTCACCTAGATGCGTTCCTGTGTGACCTTCTCTAGGTGATCCCGCTCTGGCAGGGGGGTTGGACTACATCATCTTTCAAGCCCCCTTCCAACCCCTGACATTCTGTGTGATTCTCTCTGTGTGTGATCTGCTAAATGCAGGCAGAAGGAGAAATCTTGTTACTTTTTCTAAATCCTCTGAAAGCAGCTGGATTTTTAACTTATACAAACTGTGAAATTTTCTTAAGATTGATGTCCATATAACAGTGTAGAGGAGCACAGAAACTCGTACGAGTTCAGAATGTGTGCTAGTCTCATAGAAGAAAAGTCAGAAAAACAAAGCAAGAGTGCATTTTCTTTTCAGTGGAATAGGCCACTTCGCCCTCATGCAGGCATTTGTTTAAAAATGGCAGATGTTTATAGTTACTGACTATGAATTGTTTCCTTCATTTATTCTGGGTAAATTTATTATCTTACCGGGTTTTTCCTGCACAAAATCCAAGCTTTAAGGGTCTGCATCATATCCTTTCTGCTGTCTCTACTAGGTCTTTAACTACTTCAGCCCAACTGATGGTTTCACTGTAACTAGAGCCATGAGAATCAGGAGCTCGAATAATGTGGAGGATGTAGAGGAGATTTGCACCTTTGTGCCATAGCAATTATGATAGCTCTGGCTGGTTTACTGCAACAGCTTTCTGTGTGATCGGGATAGCCTTGGATTCCAGGCACAGTAATGGAGCTAGTGAGATAAAGCTATTTACTAGTAAAGCAGTAAGAAAGTAATATTGTTTGGTTTGGTGCATGGTTCTTGACCCATCTATTTGTTGTAAGCAGCATTCAGGATTATAAAATGAGAATCAAACATAAGCTCTTGTAATGCTGTACACTATGTTTTGGTAATTTGTTAGGTGGCCTTTGCACAATGTACTTTCCGTAATACTGCTTCTTCCATTTGGAAATAGAAACATAATCAAAGAAGCAGCAATACATGGCAGCAATGTAATAAGTACGTTGTCATCAAATATGAAGGAGATGCTTATTCATATACTTCAGCTCTGTACACTTTTTTTTGTTACAGAACTGTACCTACTAACAGCAGTGTGATTTTACAAAGCTGGATTTGTTTGAAAAATGTGTAGTTCTCTATGGGATGCTTCACGCAAGATATTTTGCAGTCTGATTTATGGAAAAGCAGTCTTTGTCAGATCTGTGAATCTTGCAGAAAAAAACCCCACAAAGCAAGTTTATATCTAAAATTATGTTAGCTTGGATAGCTTCATGCAGTAGCAGAATGGTAGACAGCAAGGCTGTATCCAGTCTTACTCTGAGTGTTTTGCTTTGAGTTACACCTAATGTAGGCATATCATTATGAGCATGCGGGCAATGACAGTGTGTACACTGTAATCCAAAGAAATTGAACAAATAAAACGTGTCCTTAGATGGATTTAAAATGCAGAGTGACCGTTTCTAGTTTTCTGTAGCCTGCTGGCTCGATGTGTGGCTATAAAAAAGGAGATAAGCAAATGTTGAATGATACGAGATGGCAGCTACAATTGGCTTACAAGAATTGTTCTGCCTCTGGCACTCTGGATCGTGAACTTCTTCACATCCAAGAAATGTTAACAGCTTGGCCTCTCAGGCTTTAGCAGCTCTGAGTATCTTTGTGGGTTTTGTGATTGACAGCTCCACCATCAGCATGCAGCTCTGACTGTCATTCTGTGCTACTTAAATGCATGAGGGTTTTGGCCTGCTGTTCCTTTGCAGAAACACCATGATGGACATCTGAGTGACATTTTAATTTGACAATGAAAGCGCCATTAAATCAGAAAAGAGAAAAATGCCTGTGTTTGTGGCACAAGATACTTTGTGTGACCACTGAGGTAATTTGAGAAAGGCCTGCTGTTGAAATAGTTATACAAGTTTGCCAGCAATGACTCACTACCATGGTGGCTGCAGATAAATTCCAGTTGCTTTCTACTTGGTTTTGAAGATTTTGGTATTAGGGGTTTCTGTATGTTGCTTAAACAATAAAAATCCAGCGCGTGATTAAGATTTCTCCCATTTCTTCCTATCTGAAATGCTGCAACAAGCTGTGATCTGTACACCTTGCTGTCCCTTTTAACTATGTCAGAAGGGGATATATTTTAGCACCATTAAAACCTTCTGTTTTGTCAGCAACAGGCCTTTCCTTCCTGTGCCTGTTTCTAAAGAGATCCTGACTGGAGTCAGAACACAAATCATTCAGTGCAAATCTTTGGGATTCAGACTTCTAGAGTCTCACATCTTAGATGCTTTCTTATCTCTCTCATTTAGAGAAATGTATTACAGTATCGCCTATGGAAACCAAACTCGTGGATGTGGGTTGTACTAGACAATGTTACACCTGTATCTATCTCTCCATGTCTACATATTTAGAGAAATGTAAACTTTGCTGTAAATAATTGACAGTATAAGCAGCCAAGTGTATTCTTCTTCCATCCTATAGATGAGGAATTGTGATAGTAAAATATTACATGTTTTGACCAAAACTATGCAGAAAATCCGTGGCAGAATTAGAATCAGGTCCATGTTCTTAAGCTTTTTCTGTTGCTTTTCATCTGCAAAGGTCTTAAGAAATTAAATACTTAACAATGACTTTATTTTCTCTTCCAGCTGTTGAAGGTTTAGATTTTTATTCAGCAGAAATAGATTTTTATTCTTTAAGAACTATAGATTTAGGAGTTTTTATACTGTATGTGGCTAATTGTAGAATTAACTGTCTTATCTATTGATCACCCAGTTGGAACTGGCTAGTGTTCTATTGGGAAGTGACCCCAGAACCAATACAAGCAGGATAGTTACTACCAATTCAACACGGAGTTCCTGTCATTCAGATACGTAATTTTGCCAGCTGGCATTCTGTTTTGCACTGGTCACAGTCCCTTCAGGACCTTGGCTTCAGGTCAGGGTCCACTCACTTGAAACTCTCAGAATCCATGCTCATTTAGCAGTGGTTTGCTAGTTAAGTGATACTGGTGATGTACATGTTGGTGATGCCTGGAAAAGAAAGCAGGTTTGTGATAATAATGAGCTCTTCAGATTATTTTTGTGGATCTACTCTGTGGATCTGTACTGTCACCTTCATTTGGCTCCTATTGTTGACCTGTCGGATAAAACCTTTCATTATTTGCCTACTGCTAACAAAATGGTGTAGCAAATACAATATTATTGATCAAGTCTTTGCAGTAGTCAACACTTGCAACTTCCACTGAATGTTGAGCATGTAACTGTAAATGCATTTTTTTCTGGAAAGAATATGAATAATTCCATACTGTGACTGACATTAAGGTATCTAATGTTACTTTGAAAGCACAAGTGAGTTAACTGTTGTAAAGTATTTGTGAAATGGATGAATGTAAACATTTTGCAGGTGGTGAATAGGGACACAAAATTAAATGTTATTTCCAGGTCACTCAGATCTATGATAGAAATGTGCACTGGATTTAAATATCTTTTCTTGAGTTGCTAATCTTGTTTCTGTTCAAAAAACCTAAATGAACACACCCCCCCATTCTAAATTTGGCCCCAAATTCACTAGTCAAGCTGCATTAAGACACATCTCAACAGCAGCAATGTTATCTGTTCCAAATAATGAAAGTATGCATCCCTTGATGATAGCCTGTCATAACTGCTTGACAGTTTGTTTCAAATTCATGAAAGGTATCTTCTAAATAATACTTTTCTATAATTTTAACTTTGATCATACTGCCAAAGCAAAGTGCTGTTTATGTTTTCTTCCCTTTGAAAGGCTGAATTCTAAAATGGTATCTTGCTATTTTTCTTCCATGAGCTTTACCTTCCTAGGTGTGAAAATCTTTCAGCAAAACTAGTGGTTTAGTGATATTTCAGATATCTTTAACCCTATCCTTTGTTTGTTGTTCTCCTGTGATGCTGTATTGCAACAAATATAACCCATCTGTGTTTGCTGTTATTCCTCACAGCTGTTTTCCAGAAAGGCTATAAGGAAAAAAATAACTTGGATGATCAAAAAAGGCAGTTCATAGCCAGGAGAGTCCTGACTCTCTAATTATTTTTTTCTCAGGCCTCCAGAATTGGCATCAAAGTATGCAAATTTATCTGAGGGAGTGTGCAAGCCTGGTTATGCATCAGCGCTCATGACTGTCATCTTCCCAAAGTAAGTAATTACTTTTCTGGGTTTTTTTGTGGTTGTTCCCCCATCCGCAGCCACACTTGCTCTGATGAATTCTCGTCCTTTGAGGTGGGTGATCTGCAGCGATTGTCTTGAAAAGTGTTATTACTCTGTCACTTGATTGGTTCAAGGGGAGACCAGTGTTGAAAATCTGGGCTGAGTGGTCAGTGGCAATGGCTTAATTGATTCCAGTCTGAGCAGGAGCTTGCTGAAAGCGTTGAGAGTTCTGTGTGTTGAGTAATAAAACAAATTATATTGTCAGTGCATGATACAGATGAGTGATCAAGCTCACTGGTGGTATTAGGTGATGCAGTCCTTAGGAAGCTTTGGTCATGAAGTGACACATAAATTAATCTGGAGTAGTAAAGTGGGGTGTAGATTTTTTTTTTTGGTTGGTTGGGGTTTTTTTGTTGTTGTTGTTTGGGTTTTTTTTTTTACTTGGGAGAACAGGGTAAAGCATCCGTCAGGTGACTGGAGGCTTTGCACTAGTGTTTTCCAAGGGGTCTAAGACATGTTGTTAACAACTTGTGCATCTTAATGGTTGAGAAGTTACTGTTAACTGAAGTGTTACTAGTTTTTTCAGAATTTGTTCACTCTGAAAGGGTAGAAAGTTGCAGTGCTGCTTGACAGCGCTCAGAAACAAGGAGTGTAACCATAACAGATCAAGCAAAACTTACCTTTAAATTTGGCTTTCTTTAATGTACCACGTGGCTTCTGCAATTCAAGGAGTTTGTAGAATTGCTGGAAGACAGCTCAGAAGATAGATTGTCAAGAAAATTATGCTGTTGAGGCTCAAGGATCTCAGTTTGGTTCATCAAATGGAAAATTTGACCGAACTATGATTTGACCTTTGTACAAGCTTCTAATTCATGTGGAAGAGATGCTCTAGTGCTGTGATCTCTTTGACAAAAGAGATTGTGGACTTCTTAACACAACTGATACTTTTCTAAAAGATATATTTTGTTTCTTTTGAGGAGTGAATTTCCATGACTTGCACATAATAGAGATTAGGTTGGGTGATGGTGGCCATCAGGCCAAGCCTGAAAGAGGTAGTATCTTCTTTCTTTGTTTTTATTGGCCAACACGATATCTGCAACCTTTAAAAATTAAAAATAAAAATCTGATATTGCCTTGTAACCAGCAGATACTACAGACAGGCCTTAAAAACAAAACACTTAAATCATGAGACTGTGTTCTTCCATCACCAGTGTAAAACAAACAATTATGAGTATTATCTTCTGTGTGAATTTTGGACCTCTGGTTAGAATATAAATAAATACTAGAACCAAAGGTAGATACATTATCATCTTTTAAGAAATTTCTGAGTGCTTTTAAATTTGTGTTTGTGTACATATTAAATGTAAATAGTGTAGAAGAGGAATATAAGGTAATTTAACTGTGGTAAGATGTCTGAAGCTAAAGCCTTCCTTTATATAGCTGAAACCTAACTGCCCTTTCCAACGCATGGCTGTTGTTACATATTGATTCTGCAGAGATAACTTATACACTGAAGAAGGAAGACTCTTTAGTACAGTTATTAAGGCCAGAAAAATACCATTAACGGTCCCTTATCATGATTTGTTTCATGACACAGGACATGATGTTTTCTTCCAGTAAATTTAGCACAGATCACAGGCTAGTTAGCTTGATTTAAAGATATCAGTTGATGGACAATCTGGTAATAATGTGCTACATTATTCCTGTGGAGAAATTCATTATTGCAAAAATATTAATCTTATTTTAATTTTAAATTTATTTAAGACTTCGGCTTCAGGAAGGTTTTTGGCCTGCTAGAATCCGAAGCGTTACTTATTCTCTCCCTCAGTAGCTACTTACAGATTGCTGTTATGTCACCTTCTCCCAGTAACTAGATGCGTTGAATTAATACCATGCAAAGAGGTAGTAACTTGTCTCTAGTCTAACTAGGTGGTTGTTTTGTTCATATATTGAAAAATCATATTCTCAGCATCTCACTGGGGATCTATGTTCAGTTGCTTCTCTAACATGAACCCTAAACCTTACTAAGTTTGACATTCTTTCTAGAATGACCTTTAATTCTTTATTAATTGAATTCAATGTTGGACATTTCATTATTTTACCTAGGATTGGTGTAAGGATGGCTGACCAGTAGTTCTGCAAAGAATTTCAATCTTTTCTTTCTCTTCCAAAACTCTCATACTCAAAGAAATATGCAAAGTTAATATTACCAAGCCAGGTATCAAAATTTAATATATTTATAACTTAAAACCAAACTAGCTTGCCTGTTGATTTAAGAATTTGAGCTGCACAATTTCTTTTATTCTAGCTTTCGTTTTCAGTTGTTTGTATCATTAGGAAAACATCTTCTCTGCAGCTGACATTTTTCAGGCTTGGTCTTCGCCGCAAAATGTGTGGTTTTGTTGGTTTTTTTTTTTTATTTGGATAAAGTTGGTTTGGCTGTTTTCAAGCATGAATAAAATGAATAAATGTTTTCCATTATAAAGGTTGCTGATTTTTAGTGCGAATTTAAATGTAAATAGGCAAAATATGGTGGAAATAGTTGAAACAGAATAAATATTTCTCCAAGGATGTAACTCTTCTTGGTAAGTGCTTCTTTAACAGTAAAAATGTGAGTTCAGACTTTACCAAGCTAGACAGATTAAAGAGCAGTGCCCTGAGAAATCTCAAAATGTGATTGCTTATGAGGTTCTCAGCTGATCAGTTCTCATTCTAGCAATGCTTGATGCCTTTATCAATGATCCTAGCTGGAAAAAATCCTAGGTTAAGTGTACAGATGATACGCTTATTGGTGAGTAATAAATAAAAGAGAACAGAGGACAATCTGGATTGCCTGGTTTAAATGGATACAGTCCAACAAAATACATGTTAATACATCCAATATGAAATAAGACATCTGGGAGGAGCAAATGCAGATTATACCTTCAAGACAGAAAAACTCCGTCTTGGAAATGGACACAGAGAAAGCTTCATGTAATCTTGATGAAATACCTGAAATGCTATATCAGGTTCATATGTACACACATAAGTTGAGAAGTTCTGTGTGTGGCACTGATTTAAAACTAAAAACCCACCCCCCAAAACCCACCCAACCCAAGACTTCTAGAATATTTGTCTAGTTTTGATGGTAAAAGTCCGAGAAGGGAGGGGAAATAAGAGAATGAAGGAAAGCCACAAAAATGAACAAGCACTGGCTTAAACAGTAAAGTAAACAAGGCTTCTAGAAATAAGCCATCTTTCTGAAGCAGGAGTTAATCCAAATGAGGAGAACAGGAAAGACCATTTTTGGCAAGTTAAATATAAATCATAATGAGGTAGGCCAAAAAAATGTTGAGGAACAACTTTATAAAGGCATTTAAAAAAAAAAAAAAGGCATCTTTTTGTCTAGCTGTCAAAAGCAGAAAGCCTACCACAGATCCTGATGTGCTGATAGATGATCGTAATATTACATGTGAGCTAAGGGAAGGTAAAGCCATAGCAGAGAAGTTATTTGCATTGCTGTTCACTGCAGAACAGTTCACATGTGGAGCCTTCCTTTCTGGGGGACAGGCTGGGGGAAGCTGACAGAAGGTTGATGTTTTGGAGCAAATCGGCACAGTGAATTGCTAGGAAAAAATCTCACTTAGTGAAGAACTCGCTGGTGAATTGCCGAGTTACACGCAGTTGTGTATAATCATTGCTTAAATTGGCCTTAGAATGGAAGAATGAAAAGCAGTAAACATGTCAGGCTTTTCAAGAGGGGCCCATGGAGCATTTGGGAAACTGGAAACTAGTAATGAGCCTGGTTTCTGTATTAGGCACCTTGGTAGAAACTATGAAAAAAAAATAGAATTAGTGACTGGATGAGCACTTGATAAAGGTGATTTAACTAATACAATATGTCTGGATTTCTTAAAAAGATACCCAAAACCAAAACACCAAACAAACAAAACCGACCAAACACCTGGTGTTTCAAAGACTTTTGGGAAACTAAACTGGTGTAATCTTGTAGTGGTTAGGTAGTGACTAGGTGAAAATTGGAAAATGTATGGAAAAAAATAAGAAGATTGAACAGTACAGGGATGTTACCCCTGGAGTCCTCTGGAGAACTTGTGCTGGCATCTCTGCTGTTCAACGTGCTCATAAACTATCTGGAATGGAGAATGAATAATAAAGCACTGAAAACATTTTTCCAGGTATCAAGACCAAAAGCTAACTGAGGAACATCAGAGGGATCTCACAGTGCTAAGTGATGGGGCAACAAAATAGCAGGCCAAATTCAGTTCTGATAGGCGTAAGGTAGTGTTTGTTGAGAAGATTGATCTGACAATGTATACCTAATGATGGACTTAGTTATGCCTTGCAAATTGGGAAGGAGATCTTGGAATTACTGTGAATTGTTCTGTGGATTACTGACCAGCGACGGTTGAACAACTGTGGATGTATTAGGAAATAAATGCAGAAAATGCAAGAATATATTGTGATACTGTATAAATACCCCTTGTGCCTCTGTCTTCAGTAACACATCTCATTCTTTTCAACTGATTTGGAATCAGGTCTAGAAGAATTGGGTATATGTAGGGGTAATAAAGACTAAACAAAAGCCTGGAGCCATTTCCATGCTCAGAAAGATTGAATAGACTTAGACTTTCCAGTTTGAGGTAGAGCAAGCAGAGGATATCACAAGTATGTGTCACATAGTGAATGGCATGGAGAAGATGTTGAGGTGTTGCTTCTCTTAGTACAAGATTCAGAGATATTAAATGTAAATATTGTGCACCAGGTTTAAAATAAACAAAGGGAAATGCTATTTCATGCTATTTCTAGTTATGTTTTTCTAAGAATGTGTTCCATAGTGGGCAAAAAGATTGACAGTCAGATTTGATTGACTGTAAGGATTTAGAAACAGGCATGGAAACCTCTTAAGTTACAGGAGGCTGGTACCTAAATAGGTGTTGAGAGCAGAGAGTAGCTTTATGTACTCCCTGTTTCTTAGGCTTTTTACTGAA